GTGAACGAACCTTGAACGACATCGACGCGAAACTCTCGGATGGAAGGTCGACCGCTGTCTTCGGCATTCCTCTCCGGATATGGAGAGTCCAAAAATACCAAGGACACTTTTGTCCACGGCGCAAATGCGAAGCTTTTACTTCTTTCGCACAAATTAATCCGAAAATTAATTCGAATTAAGAGGCGAGAAGAGTTAGAATTTCTTTTTTTCCAATCGATCGAGTTTCTCGCTCGATTTTGTGACGTGCTTACTATACCGTGCTGTACTTACCGTACAGAGCGAGCAGAAGCCACCTTTTCTCCCGCATGTTGGCGCTACTGTAACATACAAGAAGAATGTCTCCGTTTAATCCTATTCTCGTGAATCTCGGAAAGTTTTTCGTGCGCGGCGCGGAATTTCCACTCATAAGAGGGATTAAAAATTGACGAGAACGTGTCGTAGAGGCTCGATATTGAGTTGTACGTAGCATAATCGAGGCAATAGCTCCGCGTTGGAACGTAGACCGGTACAGGCGCTTGAGCATATGGGAACGGTTAGGGAACTTTCTCTGTGCTGTCACCACTGCTAACCATATAATGCAAGGATAATGTAGGTGTTATATAAATGCACGATCACGTAATACCGGGTGTGACTTTGTCGTCACTGTTATGCACGCTACTTTTAATAATAATTATAAAACAAAGAGAATTTTCCCTCCGTCCAATATCCTCCATTGCTCCACTGATAAATCCACTTTTCGATGAAACCGTCGACCTAACCTCAAATCAACGATAGATATTTGTAAGAAATCGTACTCGTTTCGATACTCGTCGAAGAACGGATTCGATGGAAATCGGTGAAAGCAATCCGTCGATAAGATTGCGTTTTGATTATTCAACAATTGATTATTCTTTGGTTTATCGTGTTCGAAGAAAAAAGAAAAATTGTTTGTATCAACGAACTCGACCGATATGGATTTATCAGTTTCGGTGTAAAGAAAAGAAAAAAAAAGAAAAGAAAAATGTAGACCAATCGCGGGATATTTTCGCATTAATTAAGCGCTCCAGTTCGCAGACGGATCGTTATCGTTGGTGTAAAAGTGTGGTGGAAAAAGGAGAGAGGTATATACCTGCTCTCTGCCTCTTTCCGCAAAATGGAAGCATGGAATAGCGCGTTTGTTCGATTACACAAGTCTCGCGATTGCTTTCTTTACTACGTGTCACGACGACGAATGTACGCGAGTTCCCAGGAGTGCTGGGAAATTTTAGCCGTTTCATTCGGAAGAAGAAGTCACGATTACGCGATCGCGTTTAACGCGCTCGTTTCCTTCGCCATTTTAGAAACTGCCGTTAATATTCTATTCTCTATTCTCGGTGCTATAGCTCGTCGCTCGATCAATCCTCTCTTCTTCCAATTCTCCGAGTAAATTATTATTTTACGCGAGGCGACTACATTTTTCGATGGCTACTGCAAATACTTCTCCTCCTACGGTAGAGATTCCTCTTTTATCGAGTCGCGCGTTCAACGACGCGACACTCGTAACGTTACCTTACGGTAAATTACGTTATGTTACGACACACGTAACGGTCAACCCGCGACCGCTAAAGGTCACCGGAAGTAAATGGTTAGCTAGCACCACTAGTTGTCCGATCAATTCGATTTCTCGAAACAACTGGTAAATCTTTTAACCGTTTCTTTTTTTTCTCCCCCCCTCAAAGCGACGAGACGAGATAAACCTCCTCCTCCTTGAACCTTTTAAAACAACTTTTCCTTCTTTTCGTTGGATTTGGAGAGAAAATTATACGCTTCTTTTCAAGGGAGAGGAGGGATATGGAATAATTGGAATCGGGTCAGAGAAAAACTTATATATACAATGCGTAACGCTTGTTGCTTCTCTCGAGACATTTCTGTTTTTTTTTTTTTTTTTTTTTTTTAAGATTAAACAGTTCGCAGAAGGCGTGGTTAGAAAACCCGATAGCCTTCAAAACCCGTACGAGTTGGCAGCAAGCTTTCATTTCCTCGTGCTTGCTGTTCCTTCATGCCTATCTGTCGAATAAATACATACGTTATCGAGTGAATCGTGTTGCGAAGAAGCTGCGTACTCGTCGCTTCGATCGAGCGACGAGTTTCCGCACATTTTTTCCCCTCTTCTTTCCCAACTTCTTTCCCGAGTGGATGCTCGCCGGTGCTCAATCGTAATAACAATAATCACGCTTAAAAATGGAACGTGAGAACGTTCTCTTCATTTCGATCGTGTCTCTCCGAAAACTCGTCGAATAAAACTTCGAATCGTCGAGCGAAAAAAGCCCCGACCACAGCCAGCCAAACTTCGAATAGATTCCATCCTTGTCTCGATCGTTTTTTTTTTCTACGATGCGTGTTTACCTCCTCGCGGATTCGTATTCCTCATTGGTCGATCGTTGGCCGGCTTATCGGCGTCGCTCGCCTCGTCTGACGCAACGAAACGGGCGAGGTCAAGGCATAACGCTCGATCCTGAGAAAGAAAGGTGGCGCGATATTTACCCGTCGAATGCTGTTACTACTACTCCACTACTACTATCGATCGATGGATAGGGAATGAGCGCCACTGCGTATTCAACGCAAACCCGTCTTCTTCTCGATCGTTAAACACTCGTCGCAGGATGGGATATATAGGTAGAACGTAATTACGCGTGGCAAATCGAGACGATTGCGGTTGCACTATCAAATGCACACTCCTCTTTGCCACTTTCAATTAAAATCGCGACGCGATTATGATTATTCCTGGTGGATAATGAGACAGACCGCGAATGCGGGTTTCCTTCGCATCGTTCATCCTTCCCGTGTCGTTTTAGAGAGAAGGATCGCCACTTCGTGTATGTATAGAAAGTGGCGGCGCGCGCCAATAGCGTGTTTGCTCGCCGTGCGATATGGAACTGCGTGCACTGTATCGCCTTTATTCGAACAGCTGTCGCAATTGAGGCAAAAGTGGGATATTTTTGCGGATCCACCATCCGTGTAAATCTCTCGCTCTTCTTTCGGTTAATAGACCTTGAAAGCTTGGGGAATAGATTCTATCCTAAGGCGTGTCCTATTCGAATGCATAAAAACGCGAAGGTGCGACTTAATGCCGACTGGTTTTTCGTGTCAAGGTGCCAGAATTATCTCGGATTGGTCGCGTGCTAGTAATGTTGACAAAAGCTGACAATACGCGAGACTTTTAACGCGCGGAAAGCAACCGTCGAATCGAGCAAACAATGAGAAGCCGTTTGATTGAAATTTTGAAACCGTCGACGGATAACCTCGATAATTACGATCCTTCGATAATTCGCTCGTCGTGTCACAATCGCGACAATCTGTCGCGCGATGTCTGCCCCCTCCCCNTGAAAATGATCGACTTACGTAATCTCTCATTCATCGAACGTGCCTCTTGAATAATTCTAAATCCGCGAGTTTCCCCGCTACGTCGAGTTCGTTCAACCTGAGCGATCGAGGATGGGGAGAGTGTTTGAATCGATAAATTCGAAAATTTTTGCGGATCCAGGAGAGGAGAGAACCGGCTTCGGATATAAATAATTTCACGTTCCACCATGATGAATAAAATTTATTCGACTGTAAAAACTGGTGTCGGTCAACATTTTTATCGGCGCATTGTGTAAGCTTATGGCAACGATAAAACAAAAGAGAAGGTGCTTCTTCGAATTCTTTTTTCGACAGGAAACGACGTAAGAGGAAACGAGTAGAAGGTTAGTCCGGAATTAAGAACAGGAGAATAGCCGGCATAAAGACGTACGTTCTTTCCGTTTACGTTCAACCGCTTAATCGGTGCTCGTTGGACGATCCAGAATCTAATTTCACCATCGTTTCAGGGAAAATTTTGTAACTGGGATCGACGATAATTTCTTCGAAACGGCAAGAAAGTGATCGGTGAGGAGGAAACGTTGTCGGAATCGGAAATTGTATCTTCCTTCCTCCACAAATCTGTTTCTTGAGAGAAAGAGAAAGAGAGGAAGAGATTTTCGTGTATAATTAGCGCAATTAATGTGTCGTGAAGCCATATTGCCGCAAGGAATATAATTATATGCTGAGAGGTGGTAATAACGAGACCGATCCAGAATCGTACGAGATTTTTTTTTTTTTTACGATTGCTTCCTACTGCGTTCCTATTCCTGTAAATTACAGTTTACTATAGTATTCTATCTATGATGGTAGTGAATCCGAAATGGGGATTACAGAAGAAGGCAAGAAGCGTGTAGTTTTCGAAGCATGATTTTCTTCGTTCGAGCATTGATTCGTTTTCTAAAATTGTCTCTTGCTTTCATTTGAATTTCACGATCTCACTTGTCGACTCGGATCTCTCGCTTCGGTCTTTCGCCACCGATATTTGTTCTCTGTTCAAGTATCGTTCATTTGAACATGGAACGGAATCGTCTGAAATTCGATTCATCGGTACAGATCGCATCATCGAAAGTAGACATCGCGCAATATTCACGCGTGCCTCGCGTAGAACAGCTCTGACACACTTTATTTCGTTTCGAAAGCGGCGATGGTCAAATTTCGCTTTATCCTAAGGCGAGGAATAGCGATTAAAAGGAACCTGTATTTCCTGTATGTATTCTCGATAAATAATTTATCACGCCGAATTTATATATTTTATTCGTTTCTTCTCGCTTAATTTTTCCCTTCCGAATGTATGATGTACGATTATTTTTTGACATCGGGACGAGATTTAAATTTATCGGTTGTTCAAGCTTGAAAAAAAAAACAGAAAAAAAAGAAAAATAAGCAAGAGACTATCTACATCTAACGCCATCCGTCGTCATCGTTTCGAGGAAAAATAATTTCGAACTCGAAATCCACTCGTCTTGTACGGTAGAAAAATCAATAAATTCTAATGTAGCGTTATTGGATAGTGATGGTTCGTTAACTGTACCGATGATATTCATTTACGAGAAAACTGTTCGAGAAAGGAGTAGTGGCGCGATATGGTCGACGTACGACCTCGAGCGACCGCAAATATAACAAGGCCCTTGAAAATTATCCGTTGATCATTCGAAAACTAAGATAGGATGCATGGGAGGGGGGGAAGCAGAGTTGGCCGTTAACCCGTAAAAAAACTGATTAAAAATTTCGAATAAAATTGACCGATTACTTGTTGAAACGCTTCAATGACATTTATTCGTGCTTATTATTATATATCCGTTTTCCGTTAATTTCCAATTATTATTACGTTTCGAACGGTAATAAACTTATCCAAGTAAGTTTATTCGTAACTTTGACTATTAAATTTTGTTCATCACCGAGAAGAGGGCAGTAGCGTCGCGTTCGTTTCTATTTATATGGTTCAGAGTGTGCGCGAAAAATTGGCGATCGAAACGATTAAGCGTCTATTCCAACCGTTCGATTACGAGCAACCAGCTCGTTTATTTTTCCGACGGCGTATAGCGGGAGAAAGCAGACTGCGGCCGGACGACGCTTGTTCTCGTGTCGTAACGTGGCTAGTTGGAGAGCTCGCGCTCCCGATATTGTTTATTGTAAAACATCTGGCAAAGTATCGGTCGAAACGTGTCAAAACGTGCCGCGAAAGCGTGGCACGTGGATTACGTAAAGTGTAGCGATAGTTGTTGCATTGCTTTATGCGCGATCACCTTTGTGCTGTGATTCCAGGAATTGTAATTATAGGTTAGGGAGAAGAGAGGTTATTTCTTATTTTTAGAGGGAAGAAGAAAAGAAACGTTTCATTTTTTTCGAGCTCGACTTTCCTCGAGCTCGTGATTCCGAGTTGTCGCGAGGCTTTCACGTCTCTCCGTTCCTTTTTTCTTTTTTTCTTTTTAACCAATAGTTTCTCTTCCAGTAGCGAAACAATAATTGATTCCATTTGACGCTCGATTAAGTAATTCGATCGAGGATAACGAGCGAGCAAGAAACGTTTCCGGAGCGTTTAATATCCTTCGAGATTGTATGGAATTGGAGAGGGTATTCGGCGGGTATGATGCTAGTAATTAGGGCGTCTAGCGTTTAGCTGGTTTAAGCGTTGCTCGAGCAAAATAGCGTGTGTTTAGAATCGGGCACGGAATCCGATGGTGATCGAAAGTGAACGTGGACGACGACGTTAGAATGCAACAAGGAGGAAGGAGAGAACGAAAGGGGAGACGCTGAAAGAGAGGGAGAGAGTGGAGGCACTGTCGAGGTTACGGAAAACCGCGAGATTAATCGACAGCCGATACCGCCGTTCACGAGGAGAGTTTCGTTCATTGGATCGGATAATAAGAAATCGGTAACTTGAAATTAATTGGCATACGAGCCGTTCGATTATATCAAAATTATCCTCGTTTTCTTTACCGACGCGGTGTCGTAAGCGGCGTCGTAACTCGTCAGAGGAAACGTTACACTTGCTGGCACAAACGCTTGCAAGTATAGTATATATACATTTCGCGATACGATTCGAAATATCGCTAGAGTCACGGCGTTCAGAATCTCGCGGCAATCTCGAATGGAAACTCGATTATCCTTCTCTCCATCGTGGAAACGAGACAGCGTGAAAATGTATTTTATTCGCGCGAGATCAGAGGAATTACTCGTATCGGTATATAAAGAATACGCATTTCAATCGTTGCGTATTTTTTCTCGACGCGTGGCGCCGATTCGCGGGCTTATTACTCTACGACACGTGCACAGTGCGTGCATATTTCCTGAAACGAAATTCCGCTCGTTAACTTCGATCTACGATGAGCGAAAATGGAAATTCGATTTTCCGCGTTCCGATTACGCGCTGAGATCATAAAAATACGTTAAAATACGACCAAACTCGCGTAACGTATTGCAAATATATCGCGATATATATATATATATATANTACATATATATTTTTTTCTTTCTTTCTTTTTCCTTTCACCTTATTT